TATGGTACTTTCTGCGTAGATTTATGGCCATTCAGGGGGGACTTTGCAGTCAGTACCCCGTTGCCCCTGAGGTATTTGAATGTGGTTTTGAGCTGCACCTTTTCCTCCCAGTTGAGAAAATGTGGAGTGAATGCTAGATGCAAAAGCGTGCTTTGTCTCTTTCTGTCTCTGCAAAGACACCTTCACACAAGCTCTGTCTTCTGTATGGAAAGTTGTTCCACAAAGAAATACTGTCTGCCCTGCATATAGCTTTTCACATGCAACATTCATATACACATATATCTCACTGTATATGCAACACACCAGGAACCACAGTTGGACAACCTTTTTCATATAAGAAATGAGTCGAGTTTGAATTGACCGTGATTTTCTGTGTTCCTACACAATAAGAGCACCCTCAGCGAAACAACGTGAATTTCCCCCTACTCTAGTTCTAACGTCCTAATTTTTTTCTGCCTTCACTGACAGAAAAATCAAAGCAATGCATACCAATTGGTGTCAACTGCTTTATAATGTAACGACAAAGTGGTTGTCATTATACAGATCAGCCTTGGAAATCTCTCTTTGGACTTGTGAGGCTTTCCTGTTCTCTTCCCTTGACACAAAGCTTGGGAATGCAAGACTTCTATATGCCAATAAACTGTCATCCAAACTGGATGAATTGACAAACAGTAGTTGGTTCTTTTGCCTACAAAAAGGCATTCTAAATCAGGGTTAAACTGTGATTGAAAATGTAGTTGTCTGTACTCTGACTAGCAGAGGTTCTCCAGGGTCTCAGGTCAGGAACTTTCACATCATCTACTACTACCTGATCCTTTCAACTCAAGATGCTGGGGACTGAACCTGGGGCCTTTGGCATGCCAAGCAGATGAGCTGTCAGAGAGCCACAGCTCCACTTGTTAGATTGGAATTGGTTTGATTGGGAATACAAAAGCCGTCCATTCTTGAACAATGTGAGAGGCCAGCAGAGAGGAGTATACTAGTAGGAGGACTTCGGAGGTTTCTTGTTGTAACAACAGAACACTGTCTGCCCTTATGTCTGAGTGCAACCATAGTTCATATGACTTTCCTTCTTTAATGTATACAACTTTTAGTGCACAAATGAATCTTTTTTCCCCTCTTCCCCCTGCATCTAGGCTCGCTTACCTGTCAAGTGGATGTCACCTGAAAGCTTATTTGAAGGGATATATACGATTAAGAGTGATGTTTGGTCTTATGGAATCTTACTCTGGGAAATTTTCTCCCTTGGTATGTTTTGGATAATATTGCCTAGAGCAACTATTACAAACTATTACATCTGATGAAGAGAGCTGTGTTTCTTGACAGCTTATGCTACAATAAAATTTGTTAGTCTTAAAGGTACTACTGGGCTTTTTACTATCTTGCAGCAACAGACTAACAAGGCTAACTCCTCTGGATCTAAAGTTATATATTTATAAATTATATATTCACAAAAATGGAAGAACTGAGTATTTTTATTTCAGTGTTTTTAAATCCTATCTTTTTACCATACAAGGCAATCAAGAGAATCAACCAAAAAAATATTGAACAGCCTAAAAATTTTTTTACTTTGTTTGGTTTACTGAGATAATTATACTATGCCCTTCCACCTGATGTGGACTCACTGGGGCAAATTATAATAAAGAATTAAAACAACACAATGTCATCAAAATAAATGCTGAAAAACAATAACTTTTTCATCATAAGTAGTATTGCAGTAAAACCACAAACAGTTAATACAAGAAGTAGCGGTCTTTATTCTGTAAGTAATTAAAAGGACAGTGGAACAGGATTGATTTCATCTGGTTCAAAAAATATGTCAAAGCAAGCAGCAGCCAGTTTGATTGGCAAGGAAAGTCCAGTCCTATGGCGTCATTTCAAAAGAAGCCACATAAAAGGAGTCATGATAGGCTGGCTGAGGTTCAGTTTTTCAAGGTTTGTTCCTTATTTCAGAACTTTCTTTCTTTAGGTGTGAATCCCTATCCTGGAATGCAAGTCGATGCAAACTTCTATAAGCTTATTAAAAATGGATTTAAAATGGATTGTCCATTTTATGCTACAGAAGAAATGTAAGCTTGGGGGATATTCCTGATTAAATGGCAAAAAAAATGTATTATGTATGGGTTTTGTGAACTTCAGAGTTAAAGTGATAGACATTCAGGTAGGATGGAATTGCTTGTTTATACATTAAATGAGCCCTTTGCGAGACGACTTCAATGTTTTTAGCTCAAAATTCGAATAGAATACCATCTTGACAAGTTTTGTGCCTGCACAGTAGCCACCTCTATGGGTTTGCCTGCATGAATTCCTTCCAATGCCATGCCAAAAGGTCATGTGAAGGCCATACTTTGGTAAATAGACTACAAACTCCCATGAGGCAGTGTAAGAATGGGACGTGCAAATTGTTTCCAGTCTGAATGGTTCACCTGCCTTTCATGTCAAGAAACACCAGATTATGCAGGCATGATAGATGACGAGTACTGAGATAGCACAGACTGTGCAGTCCTGAGATTAGGGTTGCCAACCTCCAGATGGGCGCTGGAGATCTACAGAAATTACAACTGATCTCCAGGTGACAGAGATGAGCTCCCCTGGAGAACATTGTCGTTTTGGAGAACGGACTCTATGGCATTCTACCGTGCTGGGAGCCCCTCTGACTATGCCTCCCAGGCTCCACCCTCAAACCTCCAAGGATTTCCCACCCTGGAGCTGGAGAGCCTACCTGAGACGTTTCTTTTGTAGTTGATCATGTTGGGGGGTGGGTTATAAAAGCCATACACATGAGCCCATGGTGCAACACATAGTATAACATGCATATATTAATTGTCTATGAAGGCAGTTTGTCCGTCTTTGCCATTAATAAACACTGAATCAGCAAGCTGGATTCAAGACCAACCGTTGCCTACTCTGTCTTTGCATGTGCCAGGCTCAGACCCCAGGAGTGAAAACAGACCCCAGGAGTGCACACGAGCACAGTTTATACCTTGAGCTGCTCTGGCAGCACCATGGTTTATAGGACAGAGATATGAATGAGTCTCATGCTGCCTGGCATCTCTTATTGCAGGCACACAACCCACAAGGTGTGCCAGTGCATACCCCACTGCACATGGAACACTTGCCCCACCCAAGACTGGTTTGGAACCAGGTTTTAAATGTTTATGACACTGCAACTTCCATTTAAAGAACAAGACTTCTTTTTAGCTTAGGAACATTTCTAGATTTGTGTGTGTGTGTTAGCTAGTACTCCCCCCCCCAAGTGGTAGTGGTCCAGAACTCCATCCACTTAACCCACACCTCTGCCCACCCAGGATTCCCCCAGGGACCAGGTGAATGTTCCAAGATCACTCCTACAATGCTGATGTGATCCTGAAAAAAGGCCCCTGGTAGCAATGACTGTAAACACTACAGAATGCTTAAAGTCAGGGAAATTTAAAGAAGTTCCTATTTCTTTAAATAAATAACAGTTTGCAATCTATTGTACATGTTTCTGGTATTAACAATCCATAGAGATTAAAATTTTACGTAGCTATCCCATCTTGGTACCAGGCAGGGGTGTGGAATTATCTGTTTGTGGTAAGGAAATCCGAAATCTTTGGCATCTGAGCTAAGAAAGTGGCAGCAGCCCCACCTAGAGGGGAAGGCTTGTTGCTACAGCCCTAACCAGAAACCCCACGAAGCCAAATATCTTAGGCTAATTTCAGGCGGGTTGCAAAGGAATGAAGTCCAGTGTGATGTGTTCCCACTAAGCCCATATAATTCATACTTACTGACAAGTTGTTTGTTTGTTTGTTTATTAAAACGTTTATACCTTGCCTTAGTTCTTTGTTCAAAACGGCTTGATACGAGTGTAGACTGGAGTTTCCCCCCAATATGTCTGCCATAGGACAGGCGCAATGCATTTGAACGTTTTGTCTGGCTAAGAGTGAAGCCAAAACAACATATGATGGGTACAGAACTAGATCTCCAGATGGGGATCTGCCCCAATCAAATCTAAAGTGGAGCAGGGGGTGGAGGGCGGTTATAATATTAAAGCTGACTGGCAGTGCTGAAATGCATGTATCTGTTCTCTTTTTAAATAATTGCAGAGGGCAACGGAATAAGGAAACTATACCCCTTGGGTCCCCTAGCAGGGCCTGTGTTATGGGACACATTCATATCCAAGTTGTCTACCTTTTGCATGGGGGGAAAAATAGGGAAGAATTCCATCGTTTTCTCCCTGCAGTTTTCTGTTGCTATCTTTACAGATATTTCATACTGCACTCCTGCTGGGCTTTGGATGCCAGGAAAAGACCGTCCTTTTCGCAGCTGCTTTCCCTTCTGGCATGCCAGCTGGCTGATGCAGAAGGAGCAGTGAGTAACCATGCAGACAAGCACTTCTCCCCCCCCCCTTTTTTTTTTTTGCATTTCTGTGTTGAAAATCTTTTAATAGCAGCGGCACACATGGCAAAGGATTGTGCACAACGATGTCCCCTGCTGCTGACTCAACCTTTTGGGAAAAGTCATCTGTTTTCTACCAGGGGGAAACTCCGGCATGACTGCATTCTGGAATTTTCTCCAGCTGTGCACCAAAAAATGTAGAGGTTGTGATGTTTAAGCAGATATTATTGAGGTTTTTCATCATAGCATCCTGTAGAGATGGAAGACTGTTTTGTCCACTCTTCAGGCAAAGTGTGCGGTTGCCCTTTGCCTTCCATTGAGGAGAAAGGTCACCAATGTTATATCCTAATCAAGTTACTGAAGCTGGGTTTGTTCTTAAGCTTCCAGGGCTGACAAGAAGATCTTCTGGTGGGTGGTGGCAAGTGCCGTCAAGTCACAGCCAATTTATGGTGACACTGTAGGGTTTTCAAGGCAAGAGAGACGTTCAGAGGTGATTTGCCATTGGCTGCCTCTGCGCAGCTACCCTGGACTTCCTTGGAGTTTCCTCCCATCCAAATACTAACCGGGGCCAACCCTGCTGAGCTTCTGAGACCTGACAGGATCAGGTGAGCCTGGGCCATCCAGCTCAGGGCATTTCCCCAGGCCCCTTCCAGGGCTGACAACAAGATCTTTTACATTCAGTAAATCAGCTGACACCTCTCCCCAGTATTGCCATTCTTGGTCATGTCACCTACCTTCTCTGAGTTCTCCAGATGCTCAGGCCTCTGTCCCTTCCTTCCCCCAGGGTTTCCCATCCCTCTTCCTGCAGCCCCAGTCCTTCCTTCCTATGATAATCTGGGACACTGCTTGTCATTACGCAAACTTGTTTCTTTAGACAGGAGACTGCATGCAAGGTTTGATGCCCTCCCCTGAGTCTCTGCTATATAAATAAGGAATGATTGCTGATATACCACTGGAGAATTATTGAACAGGGTAGTGTTTGTTCTGTGGGGCATGGCTTTGGGTTCAAATGTCTACTTAGTATCGTGGAGATGCAAAGTCATAACCTAACTGATGAGTTTTCCAGCACTGTGTTTGCTAAGAGTTTTCTTTAAATCCAGCAGAGAATAGGAATGCCTGTGGTGAGTCATACTGACAGGCAGGTAACAAGAAGACTCAGGGTTGGCTGAGTTAGATATATAAGAAGCATCAGCAACTAGGCACTTCTGGTCTAAATCTGGACCCCTGAGAGGCACTGCTAGATCCTTCAGTTTCCCATGCAGAAGGGAGAGGTGTGTGTCTGCAGCAACATGAATTCCCAGAATGTTTCCTTAAAGGCTGGGAACTGTGGCCTTTCCACTTCTGACTCCATTCATAAAGGAAGCCTTCAAGAAATCTGTTCAGCAGTCAGAGCTTCATGCCCTGCCTTTCTCTCTGGTGAGGACCCAAATTGGCTTACATGTTTTCCTCTCTTGCATTTTATCCTCACAAAAGCCCTGTAAGGTAGGTTAGGCTGAGCAGATGTGTGACTGGCCCAGGGTCCCCCAACAAACTCCCGTGGTGGAGTGGAGATTCAAAGCTGGATCTTCCAGATCCTAGTCGTACACTCCAACCACTGCACTGGACTGGATCTCTAACGGTATCCAGTGTTCCTATTACTAACCTACCTCTCAGTATTTGGGGTGGGTGGGGGATAAATGACATCTGAAAATCCCTTCCTATACCAGGAAACATTTTAAGCGACAACAGCTATAATGATGATGTTGACAATAACTGGACCAGTGAATGGTTTCTGACGCTGATGTTTCCCATCCTAAAATACAGGTGTGCCAAACAGTGAAGAGTGATCATTCTGACCAGGCATTTGGTTCCAAAAGCAGCCCACGTAGCATAAGGGAAGCTGATCGCCTTCCAAGCACCATTCCGTGTCTGGATGAAGATGCTTCAAAGGAGAAATGATTCTGATTTGTTACATTGTCTTTTTAAAAAACATATAGACTGAATGAATCAAAAGGGAACAGATTAGCTGCTGCTGCTGCCACCGCCGCCACTGGATATCTCTAATCCAGTTCCATCTAGTATTTGCTTTGGAAATGAAGCTACCTAGCACTCTTGCTGCTTCAGTTTTTGGGGAAAGGAACATTTTCCACAAGCATGTATTGTTTGCTGATATGCCTACACTTTCCACATGTTCTTTTTAGGAAGCTAAACAATTTCTCTCCAACTGTAGCTAACATCAGACAATCCATTCAGGAGCTGGTTGTGTTTAAGGGCAAGCACAAAGAGTCAAAATTATTTATACTTCAGCTAATTCACAGGGATGCGCAATGGTATGATACTAACATTTGCTGCGCTTGTCGTGTAGAAATGCTTGGAATGGAACACCCAGACATGCACAAACATAGCCTTCTAAACAATAGTATTACATCAGATTAGCAAGAAAATACATTGGGAGGGGATATTTAAGGGAAACAGTAGGTTTCACCTAGATAACCTCTGGAGCAGCTTGCTCACACTACTTTCATGTGATGCTGTGCGAAGGACCGTGAAATGGACCGATGTATAGTTACCAAGATCTTGGATCTTGAGCAGTGGGTTGTCCACAGCCACTGGTTGTCTACTGCAAAGGAGAATTATCTGTGGGGAAAACTACAAGGAAGAAGCAAAGCAGAGAAGACCTAGGGGATGGGAAGTCATGTTTTCACAGAGGGCAACAGGGGAAACTCCAGTCTGGGTATGCAAGGGCAGATCAGAGACTGGCGCTCACGGAACAGGAGTCTGGGAACACCAGTCCTAGTAGCTGCTCACAATAAGGAAACTTGTGGGGAATTTTCAAATTTAAAGAGATGGGGATCAAGCAGTACACTCAGGGGTCATTTCATAGAAAAAGAGCTAGGGGAACTCATTAGCATAACTCATTAGCATATGCCACACCCCTTGACATCAGGGGCCCGGCGGTAGACCTGCAAGGCCGGCAGGAGTGCGAGGAAGCCCCGCCAAGGCCCTCCCTGGCTCCAGGCAGGCAGGGGTGGGGAGAGGCGGGGAGGAAGCAACTTACCCTCCCTCTTCTCCTGCCTCCTCCTGGCTGAATGAGGGCAGGAAGCGGGGCATCTGGACACAGGGGGCGGGGCTTCGTCATGTGCCCTGCCCCCGCACCTCACCCGGGGGAACTGTGTTCCCCCGCGATCCCCCCCAAAATGACCTCTGAGTACACTCCAAGGAGAACCCAAATCCTAACCCAGAATTAGTTTAAAACTACTTTGTTTCCCCAGAGTTCTTCCAGACATTGTCCTTTGCTGACCTTGCTGTCCTTTGAAGGTTCATATATTTGCTGAATATCCACTGAATACTCATTACTTGGTATCAGTATTATTTGATCTTTTTACTTTGGTATTTTATTGGTTGTCAGTATTATTTAATTTCAAAATCCCCCTCCCTATATTTTTTTATTTGGCAGCTAATGTATAGCAACATTTGATAATAACAGTATTACTTATTTAACAGTATTGTACATTGGAACAGTTCCAAATATTTGAAAGTGTTTGACAGCTGACATACTACAGTATTTAATATTTGACTGTTGACATGCAACCATATTTAATAGTGGACAGCTTGTGAAATGTTACATTTGCTGGAAATAAAGATAATTAAAAAGCCATCAAAAAGTCTATAAAGTATTGGGATCTGGTGATGAAATTTTGCATTCTGATTTTAAATTTTTCACTTTACAGTAAGCCATCCTGGGAAATAGGGAATGCTGGGAAATGTTGAACATGAGCAAAATTTTGGCTCACCTCATTATTATTGTTACTGAGGCTGGAAAGCAAACTTTTGGAATGGTACTTCTTCCTGCTGTCTGTTTGTCTGTCTGTGTGTCTCAGTGAGATATAGTGAGAAGGATGCTTCTCAATAGCCTTGTTGATGGTTCTACTCTGTTACTGCATAGCAAGCTTATCACTGTCATGTATGTGTGTTTGACAGCTGATCAGCGTGAAGAGCTTCTGCTATAACTGCCTTTCTGTGATAGATCAAGGTGGGTAGCTGTGTTAGTCTGCCTGTAGCAGTAGAAAAGAGCAAGAGTCCAGTAGCACCTTAAAGACTAACAAAATTTGTGGTGGGGACAAGCTTAATGAGTCCCTGAAGAAGTGAGCAGTGACTCACAAATGTTGTCACAAATGTTGTCAGTCTTTCAGGTGCCACTGGACTTGCTCTTTTCTACTGCCTTTCTGGTGTGTGACTCAGCACCCCTTTCTCCACAGCTGCTACCTGGGTGATGCAAGAATTCAAGAGATTCTTCGCCTTTTTTTTTTTTTAAGCAGTCTTCCCGTGATGTTTTTCCGGAGGTCTTTCTTGATCTCATCACCATTCCTCTTTTCCTTCCTAGTCCCCTCTCCTTTGGTTTCCTATGTTTGTTTGTTTGTTTGTTTGTTTTTAGATTCTGAACCTGTGGGCAGGGATTTTTTTTTTTTATAACCTCAGAAGAAAATTTCCATTTCAGACTCTCAGAATGAATTGTGTCAATATAGCCAAACTGTTTGAACGTATTCCTGTATTATGCTTAAGAATATCACTGGCAAATAAACTATGGCTAAAACGATGGGGTGGCTTTAGCCATAGTTTTAATAAAATAATAGATTCATCACATAGTAAATTTCTGTTGACAGGAGGGGTTTGTTGCTGCAAAAGCTAAACCCCCCCCCCCTAATGCTGTTACTGGAGGAAAGAATACCATAAATTAGCAGTCTGTAGCAGAAGGGGGGAATCCGCCAAAATTGCCTCCACTTCCATTAATGGGAATTTTCTGCAGGATCCAAGCCATCAACTATGAATTGGCTTGATGTCTCGTATCAAAAGCATCTCATTTTCAGTAAGGGTTGCATACACACATAATGTTACATCCTTTTTGTTATTGTATTGATTTCAATGCTAATTATCCTTGGATTATGATTTAAATTTTTAAAAGCTTTGTCACTAATATGCCCTGCTAATAAGCAATTGTTTTTATTTACATAATTGGTGTTTTTATATATTGGGGGGGGGGTTACATTGGGCTATGCTTTGTGCACCTTTGTAGCAGAGCAGTACAAATTTTCAAATGAATAAATAAATATGTCTTTAAATGTACTATTGACTCTTCAGGTAGACAGATTGCTTTGTTTTCCTCAGTACAGGAGGATGTCTGCTGAAAAATGTTTTTGGGAATATATGTGCAGTTTTTCCAAACCATATAGCTCTTGTTTCAGAAGGCTTACACAAGTCACTCTTTGGGGGAAATGTTTTGGGAAGCAGGAAACTATTCCACAAACACACATACATGCAATGCATGCTTGCGTCTGTGGCTCAGTGAAAGAGCCTTTGCTTTGCATAACGAAGGTCCCAGGTTCAATCCACAGTATATCCAGTGAAGAAGAAGAACTGGTTTTTATACCACACTCTTCACTATCTGAAGCAGTCTTGGAGTGACTTACAGGACAATCACCTTCCCTTCCTCTCCCCATAACTGACACCCTGTAGGTGAGAGAGCTGTGACTGACCCAAGGTCATCCATCAGCTGCATGTGGAGGAGTGGAGAATCAAACCCAGTTCTCCAGATTAGAGTCTGCTGCTTTTAACCACTGCACCACACTGGCTTAAAAGGATCAAGTGATGTGAAATACCTCAACCCGAGACTCTAGAGAGCTGCTTCCAGTCTGAGTACACAATACTGACCTTGATAGATTGATGGTCTGACACAGTATAAGGCACATGAGTTCATATTTAGTTATTCTGTCTCTCTTCTAATCTCATCCCATCAGCATTGCCTTCTTTGCTTTCTCTGGATCGAGGAGACAACAGATGCAGTGTTCTCTAGTGATTAAAGTGTTAGGCTAGGGCTGGAGAGGTCAAGTAACAGAAAGGTGGATTACCGAGGAGACAACAGATGCAGTGTCTTCTAGTGATTAAAGTGTTAGGCTAGGAGAGGTCAAGTAACAGAAAGGTGGATTAAAACAGATAAAGAACCAGAGAGAGAGGATATAAATTCAATACAGGCCACTAAAATACCAAGTGTTCTACCACACAAGAAGGTGAGTGGTACAGCTACGCCTATTTCTGTAATGATTTTTTCACCTAAGAGCATAAGAAGAGCCCTGCTGGATCAGACCAAAGGCCCATCTAGTCCAGCATTCTGGTCACACAGTGGTGGACCACCTGCCTCTAGGAGGCCCATAAGCAGAATGACTGTCACAGCCTCCTCTCACCCACACTCCCCTGCAACTAGTATAAAGAGGAATACTGCCTCTGATACTGGAGGGAGTAGATACCCATCATGGCTAGTAGCCATTGTGATGAGTAGCCGTTTACTACCTGACCTTAGTAAATAAAGCCAAATTATGTGCTTTTTAATACCCCTCACTGAGTTCCATCACACCATCACCCTTCTTATGTCGAAGACAAATTTGGTATCTTTCTTTACTTCCTGCAGGGTACAAGATCCCTGGAGGGGGGGCGGATTTCCATTTGAGAAAACTCTCCATGACCCTGGGTTGTTGATTTGGCCCACAAAACAGCCTCCCACTGCAGGCTTTATTCAGCTATTCTCCCAAGTTGCAAAGCTCTTCTGATTCCTTGTGCTCTCTGCTAGTGTGAAGGGCAACAGATGTTCCATCCAAGTTCTTCCCTAATGAGTACTGGTTGTTGGAATCAAGTTGAAATGAAATTAATATAATATTCCCTCTGTCTTGACCCTGCTAGATTCAAGTCTCCACCTCACTTGATTTTACAATGTGGAACACTAGATGGTGCTATAAGATCATTTTTTAATAGTTGGGCTTTTTTTTTTTTTGCAGGGCGGTACAAAATAAATCCCCCTCATGGATCACTGCCTTGTCGTGGCGAGGGGGCTTGCGCAGTTCAATGAAGCTGTGGGCTATGCCGTGAAGGGCCACCCAAGACGGACAGGTCACAGCAGAGAACTCAGA